AAATAATGGTCTGAGCCAAAATTGAAAGAGGAACTTTTAATTCATAATTTCATTCTCTTTCACGCCTTGAAATATTAATTAAGCGTTACGGGACACCCTGTATATACACACACAGTGTCTCATTTTATATTTGACAGTCAAAAATTTGGAAATCGCGAAGTTTGAAAGAAAAATGTTTCAGACAAAAGTTGTAGGGTTTCGAGGGGGACATAAGATGATAATACTGGTTTGACTCTGAGTGACGTCGTCAAGGTCAGAACGTCACTTTGAATTTTTTAAATGGAACCCCCCATTTTTTGTTACATATTCTTGTAGCTTATTTTGAGAGCTTTTCAAAACACATAAATAAAATATTTTTTGATTAAGTAAATCTCGAGTTATAAAGCTTGAAAGTTATCACAGTACATCGGAAATAGCATTATCTAAGGTGTCCAAATAGTGGCTGAAACCTTTTGAATGTTGTTCAGGATCATGAGCTTGACAACATGTGTCAAGACCATGATCATTGGAGATTGTTTCTCTTATTCTCATTTTTGAAAATTATTTTTATTTTTTGAAAAAAGAGAAACATTCTCCAATAATCATGACTTTGGCACATGTTGTTAAGCTCATGATCCTGAACAACATTCAAAAGGTTTCAGCCATTGTTCGGACACCTTAGATAATGCTAATGTCGGTGATATTATAACTTTCAAGCTTTATAACTCAAGATTTACTTAACCAAAAAGCATTTTATCTATGTGTTTTGTTAATCCAATGTTATCATCTTATGTCCCCCTCGAAATCCTACAATTTTTGTCTGAAACATTTTTCCCTAAAATGCACTGTTCAAGAGGTATTTGAGGTGATCGATTAAAATGGGACACTGTATATGCATATATATACAGAGTGTCCGCTACTCAATGGTACAACGCTCGTGGGCAGATAGAGTGGGCCAAACTAAACAAAAAAGTCCTTTACCATTTTGTGATCTTCGCAATAGTTTTTGAGATATAAATTTATAAATATCGCCGAATCTGAACGCGCGGCGAGATACGTCCGCCCACGACACTCTGTATATATAATGAGGCGTTTTGCGTCAAGCGAGTCACCTTCCAAAAATTGACACAATGGAAAATAACGTTTGAGGTCTCAAAATACTTGTATATTTTTAGAGTTTTGAATGCAACGTGGCCTTTTGAAAAATTCAATATGACGGCTCAAATGTGACGCCTAAAATACGCAAAAGTCACGAATAATCTAACAATACCTTCGATTAAAATGCGAAAACTTGACAAATTAGTTTAATAAATATTATTGTGATAATAATAAGTTTGAAGGCTCAAATCAATAAACAAATCGATAAAATAAATAAAGGCTATGAGCCCGAGTTAGGTATTTAATGCTCACAATAAGATTACATGAAGTGATCACAACAGACGTTTCCACCTATATTAGGTCATTTTCAATGTTAAAATCCCCTCAAAGTATAACTAAGTCGGTTAAATAAAACATTTATTAAATACCGTCTAGAGTATAAGGTTCAAGCGAAATCTTCTAAGCTCATCGTGAGGTAGATTGTGCGTACGGTCCTTCCAGATTTAGACAGAGACAAAGGCGAATGTCCTTGTTAAATTCAATAATTATTAATTTTGAATCTAGCTACTACAAAGTTACAAATTACTGAATTTAACAAGGACATTATTCGCCTTTGTCTCTGTCTAAATCTGGGAGGACCGTACGCACAATCTACCTCACGATGCGCTTAGAAGATTTCGCTTGAACCTTATACTCTTAATGGTATTTAATAAATGTTATATTTCACCGGCTTAATTATACTTTGAGGGGATTTTAACATTGAAAATGACCTTATATAGATCGAAACGTCTGTTGTAATTACTTGATGTTATCACTTGAATTTTATTGTGAGCATTAAATACCCAGCTCAGGCTCATAGACCGTATTTATTTTATTGAATTATTATGTTTTCTGGTCGTATGCTGCTAACACGATATATACTTTATATGTATATAGAGACCGCCAAAAATTTGGGACGACCTAAATAATTTATGAACAGTTTGAGATATTGGGTTGAAATTTGTAGAGTTACAATGACAAAATGTAATCTATCATTTAATCTTGAAAACACCCACTTTAACGTTCCGTGAAGGACGGAGGGGAGGAGGTTTGAAAATCTTAAATGGCATGTAGGGTCGGGCGAAGGCTCGTTTGAAAGGACTTTTCGAGACGAGAAGAAGGCGAGGTTGTTGAGGTCTGTACGATTTTTTTTGCAGAGTTGTGCTTATTTGAACATTGGCGTACATAACTTTGCCAAAAAAATCGTACAGACCTCAACGACCTTGCATTCTTCTCATCTCGAAAAGTCCTTTCAAACGAGCCTTCGCTTGACCCCACATGTCATTTAAGATTTTCAAACCCCCTCCACTCCGCCCTCCATGGAGCGTTAAAGTGGGTGTTTTCAAGGTTAAATGATAGATTACATTTTGTCATTGTAACCGTATATTTCAATCCATGATATTTTAAACCGTTCAGAAATTATTCAGGTGGTCCCGAACTTTTGGCAGTCTCTATATGTAAAGCACCGTGTTAGCAGCATACGACCAGAAAACATCATAGTAATTATTATTAAACCGATTTGTCAAATTTTCGCATTTTAAAAATATTATTGGATTATTCGTGACTTTTGCGGATTTTAGGCGCCATATTTGAGCCGTCATATTGAATTTTTCAAAGTTGCAAAACTACGCAACTATTCAAGTGTTTTGAGACCTCAAACGTTTTTTTTTCATTGCGTCAATTTTTGAA